TCCATCCACGCGTCCTTGCCATTCTTGTATATATTTCAGTTAAGAAAAAAATATTCCAAATATTTCGTTAAAGAATGATCCTTACAGACTTTTAAAATCATAAAATCTAGCTACACTTCAGCTCTCAAAGGTTTTTTATACTAAGCCCATTAAAAAAAAAAGCCTAATCAACATAAGCAACAAATTACTTCTATCAGCCTGGCTATACAAGTCCTCAACCCTTTTTTATTACCCTCCTCGAAAGTTACGTCTCCTCAAAAAAAATCCAAGATGTTTATCTTTCCATGCTAACACCCATATCTGTTACATAATAAAACCACATTACCCCCTCCACAAGAACACTTAAATGCCCCCGGACTCCGGGGCCCGGAGACCAGAGGACATTCCAATCACCCCGAAACATCGTCAAACCCTCCGCAGACTCGCCTCCCATCCAGAACCCACGGAGGACCAGACCCAATTAATCACGTAGCTCGGAATCCAGGGAATAATCTCCTGGTACTTAACACGTTCAACAAAGAACCAGCCGAGAACGTACTCCCTGTCGCACAAAAGCAACTCCCAATGCTCCAGACTCCTGCGTCGCGAAGAATCCTGTTTTCCATCCATCCTCGATTCACCCTAATGCCTCTCCACCGACGGAGATGCACGTTTCAGGTTTATCGAGAGTCCTCTCTTGGACGTTGTAACGGCACTCGAAACGTCGCTCCTGCACGTCTCTCTTTCTCTCTTTCGTTCCATCTCTCCTCCCAAGCAAGGCTCTTCTTGCCTCTCTGCGTACGCACGGCTGGCTCTACACGCACATGCGTCTCACCAACACACATGCTCGTAAACGCGACACGCCAGCGGCGACCGGTTTATACCCGGGCTCCAAACAAACACGCGTCGTCGAACGACAACGGTACACCGTTCTGCGTTGTTTCATAAATCCCCTCCCCCTGTTCTACACCCCCACCGCTTTTCCATTTAAATCTGTAATATTTTTTGTTTTATGTGGAATGAAAACGTGGTTTTGGAGTATGGGATTCCTGACTGTATGAACTATCCCATATGTGAAACGTGTTCAAATATTCTTAGGTTTGGTTTAGATAGAGGCTTAGGATGTTTTTGGAATTTTGTTTGGGCCTTAATATTGGAACAGTGTATTAGAATGTTCGAATCTACGAAATATCAAATATTTAGATAATTGAACTTTTTGGAGTAAATGGAACTTTTAAGGAGTTCAACGTATTCTCTTGTAATTTAGAGCTAAATTAACCTTCATCTGTCCCTCATTTTTACAACTTAGTTTGTGCCTCGGTGTCAAATACAGTTGTAAAATATTAATGTACTGAAGAGATAAGTAGTTAAATTTGCAAGTCCTTTAAAATAAAATGCTAAATTTACTTACACATGACAGAATAACAGCATTTCTTAAAAGAAAAATGTGTCAAATTGACACAAGGCACGGATGAGAGTTAAAATTCTAGTAAAGCCTGGGACAGTATATTCTTTTAAAAAATTCTATTATGTGAAAGTATAATAGCATTTCGTGTTTTAATTTTGGCCATGGAATTCTGAATTCGAACGTCGTAAAAGTAGGTATTTAGTCGATAAGGATGCTTCTTCACATTCTTGCACGTACATCTCAAGGATGATTAAACGTTTCTTACGGGACTGCTACTAAGTAGGACTACTCTTATGTATTAACATACAAGAAGTGAAATAAGAAGAGAATATTAATTTGTCTGGAATATTAATCAGTATGGAGCAAAAAACACTGTAAATAGTCTAACCGTGTTATTGGAGCACGTAATAATCGGTACCATAAGCAATATATTGCAAATTTAGTTTTCTGATGGTACTAAATATTTATAAAAATTTAAGAAATTATTTTCCTCTATTCAATATGAAATACATTGATTAAAAATTTGGAAATCAACAAAGAAATAATCAAAATTACATTCGCAACATTCGATTTTGCCACTCCGTCAATATTTTACAGTCAAATTCTTTTTCGATTCGAGATTGGTTGACGTGATGTCCAGCTGAAAAACTTTATTGTAGCTTTAAACGGTACATTCGTTCAAAAAATATTCACGATTCGCCCGCAAACCACAAGATTACGGAAACGTTCCAACGAATTAAACTTTAATGATAGGCGATGTTTCCCTAGAAACCGCAATCCAGTTGCAAGATTGTCATCCGATCGTACAAGACTATTAAAGAACGTCGTCGCTACTTTTCAAATTCGTTGCTTAAACGGTACCGCGACCCAGTCATTGCGTCCAGTTGTTCTTAACAGCTTGTCACGATCCATTTTTAAAATAAATAATTGTGATTGCTGGAAAGGGTCGAAAAGATGACATTCTAGCAGAAACAACATCGTAATTCTTGTTGCATTCGGACGACAAGACAAAAAGTACGTACCTACGTACGGACATACATATTGGAATTCTAGAATATTCAAATAAAAGTGTTGTTTCAATTTTATTATGAAATTAAAATATGATTTTCGAATATTGACATTTGAATGTTTGAATATTCCAATTTAAATTTTCCAATAGTGAAACTAATTTTTAACCGTTCAAGTAATAGATATTGAAAAACTGAAATATTTAATTAGGGGTTAGAAAATGGACACTAGATTTTAGAGAACGGCTTATGAATCAAATTTAATGGATTCGTCGATGATCTTGAAAAAAGTATTTCATCTACTCCGATTTCTACATACAAACAGAAACCATAATTGGAAGTAGCCACGGAGATATTTCTCGTGTTTTGTTTACGAATTAGTCAGAGGGTGACTACATGGGGTGCCCTACGAGACATCTTCTGAATCATTCGCGGAGCCAGAGAGCGTCTTGTCTGTTACTAGTTTTAGACGTCCGTTCCTCGGGCGGGACGTCCACATTTACACGACAATTTAAACACTGTTTACCACGTAACACTTGCACCCAACAAGTGGATACGTGACACTCACGGCCAAACAAGTAAGTGTTGTCTACACGCTAGGCAAATGGTATTTAAATGCCAAGGGGGCACTGAGCCACACTTTGAAAATACACTTTGATAACGTATCGGAGCATCTTAACACGCAACAGAGTTTACAAACAAACTGATAAAGAACAAAGACAAAAATCGTTAAAACTTATCTTTCTAATGAACTGTTCTACCAGGAAAGTTGTAAAAGAATAATTGTAAAACAAAGGGTGTTCAAGCAAACTTTCATGTTCATAGTTTCGCAAGAATCGATATGAAAGTAATTTACTTCGAGACATACTGGAACAAAAATATGGCTTTACAGTATTCTTAATACCTGACTTCTATAAGGTGTATCGTTTAACTAATGTAACAAAAAGTCTTTGAGTGTTAGACATGATACATAGAGTCGAGTTTTATTATTTGTTTTGCGACTCTAGTTTCTCGTTTTTGATAATTAAATAGATTTTTTCGTATTCAACGTAACACCCACAACAAACTCAAAAACCAACAACATAGAGGAAATATTGCATTCATATATGTATATTATTTTTATCTAAAAATCATGAAACTATTTTCAACGGTCTATTATTTCAATCCCTTCCTTTGAACGTTCAACATCAACACAAATCTATACGACTACCAATAAAGCAGTTGAAAGTAAATATTGACACAAAGTCTACCGAATGCCAATAAACGCGTCAGACTGCGTGCAAAATAAGACAGAATTTATTACAAAAGCAACATCGGGTAACGCAAAATAGAAAGTGACATAGGGATAATCCGAAACCAACCGACGCTAACAAAGTACCATCCTACATTTCTTGATTTTCCGAATTTTCATTCTTAAAATATCAGGATGAATTTCGGTGACGCCGAGTGGCAAACCGAACGCATATCTGTTCGTATAAATCAGAAGGGCAACTGTATAAAAATATAAACAATGATCCGTTGAAAAGTGTCCAAGAGCTAAAGCGATCCAGGATTTGAATCCGGCCGGCAAAATAACGTTTCGCGTAATTTCAGGGACTGAAGGAAGCCCGTCGTTTAAGTGTCAACACTTAGTTTAACAGAAAATTTCGTATCATTTCGCTGGATCTCACAAAGGGCAGTCGGCTTAGACGTGCTAGACTATTTACGCATCGGGACGCAGAAATGTCCCGGCGTTACGACTTAAACGACCATCTATTATAGATCACAGACTGTAATCGCCAGTCAGTGCGTGCCCACTTCGTCTGTATGCCTCCTGAACACGACCTATCGATAAATATACCATCTATTTTCGACACCCTTTAGCAGCGCTAATCTACCCCCAGCTTCTCTAAATCACTTTTATCCCATTAGCCTTGCTGAGTTCGTTCCACTTTACCAGATCAAAATGGCAGTATTTTTAAAAAATACAGTTAAAATAGAAATCGCTATTCCGAGAAAGTTTCGATGTACATATACATAGCTCCGATTATTTCTTGTCGTGTCCAAATGGACAGTTTACCAACGGCGGAGAAGGATCATTCAGACGTCACGTATAGACACACAAATCAGATTTGAAATATCGACTAATGATTTAGAAAAACAGGACGAATTACCTGCACGCACTGAAGAAACTGGCACGCAATTTCAGTTCTATCCTACCGTCGATGTCCGATCAATTAAACAGCTTCATCGCATATCTACGTTTTAACGATTTCGAGGCAGGATTCTGCGAGCCGCGTCATGGATCGTTCGTGTTGCAATTACGCCGTTTCCAGAAACGATCTTAACCTCAATTACACGTGCACGTTTCCAAGCGACGGGCAGGTGAGAAGCGCTCGAAACCGCGGTTAATTCAAGGTCCGACTCCGTTTCACTCCTGACGTTTCATTGACACTCTAAATTACTCGACCGTTACAACTGAGAACGTTCGAAAACGCGAAAATGTAAACGCACTTTTTAGTGGATAGACATTTCAACCGGCGGAACACCGGAAATCGGAACGGAGTCAGAATACATGCAACGGTTTCCCGATGCTCCGAATCAAACGAATTAGAAATTCATCCTACCTTTGAGAGAAATTCCCCTTGTGGGATGTCGAGTAATCCACTGGCAGCCAGAGGGGTAGAAATCCACAAACAGAACAGCCCCCGGTGTCCTCGATAAAAAAAATCGTGTCCACCAACTAAAATCGTACGCACTGAATCGTTTGTCGGCGTTGCGAGGTTAACACGAGCGAATTACAAAAAAAAAGAACTAATCAGGAGCCACTGTGAATTTCGTTCGAACACGAGAGAGAAGTTTACGTGTAGCCACCTATTTACGGAGAAGAATCGTCGCGAACAACGGTCAGGGACGAGCGAAGAAAACCGACTGAACCGGCTTACCGTGAATACCGTGAGGGACTGACGATGCTGTTCGATTGCTGCGCGCTTGTTCCGCAGACTCTGCGCTCGGCTCTCGACGCACCCGCTCGACGCCGCTCGACTACCTCCGGCAAGCTTCGACCTTTCTCGAGTCCTGACTTCGAGTTCCAGAGAGAACATAGACCGGCCTCAGGCTTGGCAACCTCGACGAACTTTTGCTCGGGTCGAGGCCGTACGAGCGCGTTTCTGTTTTCGTGCTGGAATTAAAGAGCCCCCCATCGGGATCGGTCCAATGATAACGCACAATGCACCCCCGCCTCACTGTTACGCAACCGATCGGCCTCATTCCTGGAAATCAGACCTGATTATTGTGTATATTATTTGAAATGAAAAATCAGAGGCATCGAAGAATAAATTATTTCAAGTACAAAATAAATTGTTGTTAATACTTTAGCCCTAACAAAGCCGGAGTGAATTGTATCGACTGTGTGAGGTATTCCACACTGAGGATTTTACTATATGTATGTGGAATTCCACACTCTGATATTTTGAACGCAAAAAGATGTATCATATTTATACGAAATTCATTTGTAAAAATTCCTTGCGAAAAGGTATATTTGCTCTCAGAAAATATAAGGAACTACTAATGTTTTTTAAGCTACTGAAATTTAATTGTTTAATTTATCTACTCACCCTCCTCTCCGTGTAACTCCACACTCGGGAAAAATTTGCTTTGCCAACTCTGAACTGTACCATACCAGCTAGACAGTTTAATTCTGTTATTGTATAATTATGAAATAACTAATTCATTTATTATTTAAGCAGTTATTTATTGACATAATACACGGACTTGGAATGCGCGACCTCGGAGACGATCTTCTGTGTAAATATTTGTCACTTCGAATGGAATTTAATCTTTGGCAGTAGGAAGAATGATAAGCTCGTTTGGTAGCTATTTTTCTACGATCGATAAGCCGAAAGGCCATCGGCCTCGAACTTCGCCCTTTGATCGTATTTGAACGCAATCGGAGCACATTTGCTTACCCCGGAATCGAACTTTTTGTAATTAATTCCTTAGTTTAAGCGTGATGTCAGCTCTTTGTAATGCACAGCGCAATTTCGATTTTTTTTTATTTCACATGGTTAGTAAGCAGACTCGAGAAGCTTCTGAAGGAAACAAGTTTGAGTAATGTTACCAGAACTCATACTATTCAAATGACAATTCCAAGTAAATTAATTTTAATCCTTAAGCAGCAATTCTTTTCGTTTTTTTATATTCAGTAACAAGAAGTATTTTAAGAAGAAGATAGGATATATTCGTTGCAGGAAAAGCAATTACTATAAGAAAAAGTACAAATTTTTATAGAGGTGATTCAATCTTGTACTCTTTCTTCCACATTCCGAAATTTTGAATTATGATCGCTACCATTATTCATTATCGTCAATTATAAATGAATTTTCAATGAAATTTCTTGGACGAATGGAATTGAGAATGAGCTAATGTCCCTACAGTGTCGAGCTCACACATACACGCCACGAATCCAGACGATGGCTCGTTTTCATTCGGCGCACGATTGTATGCTGTGTCGGTGGCTGCGAAATTGCGTCGGATGAAACCGGTAGCGAAATAAAGCTATACTTCTCCGTTCCTCTAATAATAGAGTAGCGCAGCGCCGCGTTGCTTCTAGATTAAATGCTGTCTAGGACCTGAAAAAGAGCCAAGGTCAAGACGTTCCCCGAGATTGAACGGTCAAGCCGGGATTTATTACCAATTTCGAGCACTGATATAGGGCGTGTTCCTTCTACCGGAAAGGGAAATGAGGAACAAGCATACTAAGAAACATCCTGACTCGCCATTCGATCGCCCGTTCCAGACAGCTCGTGTATCGAAAGTCGATGGGAAATAGAAAGTATGTAATGCCATCTTTGTTCTCCGAGTTTAGCCGGTGAAAAGTTGACGGCGGTGTACAGGAGGCAATGCACGTGCGATCGAGTCCACGGTGCCGCAAAAGTTCTAGCGAAAATGTTGAAATTCCTTGTCCCATCAACATGTTGGAATTCTATCCATTGACGCAACTCAGTTACCAACTTTACCTTGTAGTGACTCGAATTACAAGAATACTGTGATGTCTTTTTAGGTTAGATGTTTCGAGTAACTTACTGATCATGGATAACCCCTAGTTCCCATTAAATTTAATATTTATTTTTACAGAAATTAACTGATTGCGGATGACTGTCATAAATGACAGTTTTACCCGTTAATAATCCGAAACTGTTGACGCGATAGCTGATATGTACACGATAGTAAAGAATCGAAGCTACAAAACAGTCACACGTTTACAACATGTGGGTAAATCAGTCGAACAGAAGGGAGCAAGCGAAACAAAACCTAAATATTTTTACGACGTTGGAACCCGGACTGCCTTGTATCATCGTTGTCTTTAATGTCTGTATTTGCTTGGTGCCGTATTTAGAAAAGAAACCTTCAGCCAGACTGTGTGGGTTAATAATACCATTTTATGAAGTCACATGGCAGACAGTTAACTCATCTTCTTGTCAGTTACATATCCTCCTTTCTTGGAGAAACAAAAAATTTTATTCATCATGAGTTATGATTCATAGCGATTCTATAATGAACTACAATTCCTCGAATCAAAGAAGATCTTTTACATAATTTCTATTAAATATTATACTTTCCAATGTAGCTACTTTCAGTAATGCCTTTTATTATATTCTTGGTTAAACTTCATAGGGCGGTGCAATAGGCATAATTGTTTAAAAGGAATCTCCACAGTACGTCCCGAATGCCCAGAGTTAATTAACTATGATACGCATGGTGTCTACAGCGGGTATAATGCAGTCTTATTAAAATTGGATTCCGATAAAACCGAGTTCACGTTCGCAATGAAAACCGCCCTATGGCGTTCTCGGGGATCCAGTCGTTCGCATGATTCTATACGCGGCTACTGAAAATTTATAGCGATACCAAAGGGCACGTGGGGTATGCAAACGAAATGGACGATGAACACGGTGCATCGCTGTATAATTAGCCGGTATCTTTTAGAGCGTGTTACACGGGAGAGCCCGTAACAAATGCCTCAAAGATATTTTATGCCAGCCGGTAATCCCTTTGACGTTCTATTGGTCCATTACAACGATTCAGGCGATTAAACAGCTTCTCGAAAACTTATTGCAATGTATCGTATTCAAACGTGGCCACGTCTCTACGTCTTTGTCGAGTCGCGTTATTACCCTATTAACAACAGCAACGCCTCTTATTTGCGCATAAAAACGTGATTAGTGTATAATCAACCTTTCAAAAATGAAAAATCAAGGATGCTTAAACGATCATCGAATGTTAATTTTCCGATAATAGGGCGTGTTTATTAATCGTTGGAATCTGAACAACGGAACTGGAAATCTCTGTTTCACGCATCGTTGCTAACTCTGTCGGGATAAACTTCCAAAAGGCACCCACACTCGATGTCCCTGACCATGATATGTTATCAAGATCACATTCCCGAGTAACCTTCAAACGGTTTAAATCGCCGTTCATTGGTTGTTAATAAGTTATAAATAAAAAAATACTTGAACCGCCTCTAACCAACTGCGATCAGTTTAATGCTTCAAAGTTGATTAGAGACGGTTCAAGAAAAAAATAATTCAGAGTTAGTTAGTGACAGTTCGAGAAAAAAGGTATCATTATTATCACCGCAGATTTTTGGCAGAATTCAACAACGAACTAAGCAATTTATTCTACCACTTTGTTTTTTAACTAGCTCTAACGAACTCAGATCAGTATGTATAACGCTTTTCAACAGTATATTTTAAAGACACTGCGTTACAAAAGTTTACATTTCTGGAAAAATTATGGTACGTTTTTCAATTTCTCGTTGTTAATAACTTTTTAATAACCAATGGACGGCGGTTTAAACCTTTAAAATCTTACTCAGAAGGGCGACCTTGATAACATATGTCAAAGTCAGGGTCATCGGGAGTGGCTGCTTCTCGGAAGTTCACCTCTCCGTCGAAGTGCAAGCCTGTTCCCACTACTCCTTACCCTCGTGGAACATTGTTCCAATTAGAAATCGTTTAGCTACCTAATTTCGGTAATCTGTCACGCATACACCGCATCATTATCCTCACGAACATCCGAAGTTGCGATGGAAATTATGACCGGAGAGTTTAATGCGTCTCCGGTGTTCTCGGTATCTCGTGTGCATCGGCCACGAATCTACGCGCGAGCGTAAACCAGACAAGAGGAATGTACCCGTGGAACGCACGAAAGCGGGTTATCTCGCCGGTTAGTCTAACAGGTGGATATTCTGTGCCGCCGGTAAACACACGGAGTCGATAAATGTGGCCCTCCTAGATTTTCTAGTCGACGGTATTCTAGATAACAGTCGGAAAGGGAATGGAAGGAGGGGAGAGGGTTGTTGTACCCGTCGGCTCACCGTCTGTAATTTCTCTCGCCACAAAGCAATTAAAAATTTTTTCCGTGGCTATAGAGAGCCGGAGAGGCCGGCGTTTAGGCCCGGTAGAGCTCCCGTGTTCCGACGAATGCAACTTTTGTTTTTCCTTCTCGCCCTTTTTTCCCCCTCCCGTTCCCCCTCTCCACCTGTTTCTCGCCCTGCCAACCGGGCCCAGGCGAAACCCACCATTATCTACACGAGCGAAAAAAGGACGAGCATTAATATATATTCAGAAGATCCCAACGGGCCGCTACAGATCATTATCCCGTGGAGAAGTGGACGGATAATCCACCTTCGCGCGCGAGCGCGGTTCTTCCAGAGCCTCTTTGTTGGCCACACGATCATCGTTCGACGCCACTCTTTTATTTCAACGCCTCGCGTCGCGAGCCGGGTCGAGCTTCTATAACGGAATGGAATATTCTGTTATTCTGATCCAGTGAAATCTGAATACACGACTCGATAATAAAGAACGCATCGCTCGTTCACAGAGATTACCGTCCCCGTTCTGCTCCGTGAAGAACCATGAAAAGGCGTACGTCCACGGGTCGAGCCAG